TCCAGTAAGATCAAGATCAAGAGGGTAAGAGAACTGGATTCGCTTCTGGAAATGGTATGGGTTGAAATAGTGGGCCCAAAAGGAAGCTTAACACTTGGAGTTCATTATCGCCCACCAGATCAAAAGATAGAGAAGGATTATAAAATGATGAATGAATTAAAGATAGCAACTAGACAAAATAACTGTGTCATAATAGGTGATTTTGACTACCCATTGTCCGATTCCCCATGCATTCGAACTAAATCCACGTTTGATGAACAAAGTTAAATTTATTATAATCTCCCGACTGCACTGGGGATCCTTGCACTAAAGGCTTTAAGAAATTGGGGAGTTGGAATGCTTGGTGTTGGGGGGAAAATAGACATTGTGGGTATTTAAAAAACTTGATGGGATGAGGAAAATCAGTGGGATAAGGTGATTCCTGGGTATAAATTATATTGGAAGGATGGGGGGAAGGGTTGTAAGTGGGGTGCCTCTGTTTGTCAGAGAGGGAATAGAGTCCAGTAAGATCAAGATCAAGAGGGTAAGAGAACTGGATTCGCTTCTGGAAATGGTATGGGTTGAAATAGTGGGCCCAAAAGGAAGCTTAACACTTGGAGTTCATTATCGCCCACCAGATCAAAAGATAGAGAAGGATTATAAAATGATGAATGAATTAAAGATAGCAACTAGACAAAATAACTGTGTCATAATAGGTGATTTTGACTACCCATTGTCCGATTCCCCATGCATTCGAACTAAATCCACGTTTGATGAACAAAGTTAAATTTATTATAAAGCGATGGTTAGATCAGGAACACAAGAATTGTTAGGAATGACTACAAGCCTCATAGGGAAACATAATAAAGGAACTTGAACCAGGTTATGACCAATGAGTCCAATTCCCGCTGGCGGGAAGGCAGATAAAACTAGCGCTCAATTCCTTGGGAACACAACGGTTCTACAACATAAACACAAGTTCAGTTCTCAGGCATGAGATACATAATAAGCGAAGCAACGCCATAACTCCATCCCACCTCCAGCTGGTTGACCTTGAGCAGTTCCGCAGATGAAGCAAGCAAAAGACAGTAAACACCTACACATGAGAATACAGGAGGGATGGGCAGGGCATAATGTAAGATACAGAAAAGAACACACCACCTTATGGCAGCTTGCTGACACCCATACATTGATTGGGTCAATATGTGTTCAAGTCGGGAAAAAGAGATTGAAAGACACTCTCAATGACTGTACCATGGAGCAGATGGTCATAGAACCTACCAAGGGAGAGGCGATCCTGAATTTGGTCCTAAGTAATGCCCAAGACCTGGTGAGAGATGTAAAAGTGATTACACCACTTGGGAACAGTGACCATAATGTTATTGAGTTTAACATTTGTATAAATAGGGAGTTGCCCAAAAAAACTGACACAACCACTTGTAACTTTAAAAGGGGTAACTTCTCTGATATGAGGGGACATGTGAGGAAGAAACTGAAAGGAAAAGTAGAAAGGGTCAAAACCATTTGGGAAGCTTGGAGACTACAATCCTAGAAGTCTGATGTCGATACCGGGTAAGTTGGTGGAAACTGTTATTAAGGAAAGAATTAGTAGGCACCTTGATGAACAAAAACTATTGAGGCAGACTGAGCATGGGTTCTGTAAGGGAAGATCTTGTCTCACTAACCTGTTACTGTTCTTTGAGGGAGTGAACAAACATGTGGACAAGGGGGACCCAATAGATGTTGTTTACCTTGACTTCCAGAAAGCTTTTGATAAAGTTCCTCATCAAAGGCTCCTAAGTAAGCTCAATAGTCATGGGGTAAAAGGACGTCCTTTTGTGGATCAAAAACTGGGTAATTCATAGGAATCAGAGAGTGAGTATAAATGGGCAATTTTCTCAGTGGAGGGTGGTAAGCAGTGGGGTACCACAGGGATCAGTACTCGGTCTGATTATTGATTTGGAGTTAGGGAGTAAGCAGTGAAGTGGCTAAATTTGCAGATGACATGAAGTTGTTCAGGGTGATGAGAACCAAGGAGGATTGTGAGGTACGCCAAAGGGATCTGTTGAGGATGGACGAGTGGTGGCGAATGGGGTTCAGTGTGGCTAAGTGAAAAGTGATGCACGTTGATGCGGTCTGTACTGGCAGAGACTGACCAGGAGAGAGATCTTGGAGTCGTAGTAGATAACTCAATGAAAATGTCTAGATCGTGTGCAATTAACATTTCAAAGAGAGCTCCCCCAGACGTTCCGTAAGAAATCATCGTCAAATTCAAAGAGATACAAAGCAGAAACAAACTTTTCAAAATAGCTCAAGAAAAACAAGGTTTAGCCCTTGAAGACACATGCGTGTTTTTGTATGCTGACGTCATCCCAGAGGTGCTGATTGCAAGACAAAGACTGTGTGAAATTGCAAAGACATTGAAAGAAAAGGAAATACCATATAGATGGCTAGCACTTGGCCATTTGATGGTTAATTTAAAAAACAAAACGTTTATAGCACATAATGAGATGACGGGTAAAAAACTTATCGAGGCTGTCATTAAATTGAAAGAAGGAGGGGTGTGAAGGGAATAGTTAGGCTATAGTGTAAGTAGGGGGAAACAATTGAAAGTAAGATTTATTAGTACAAGAGTAGACTTGAACTCTAAACATGTCTAAGTAAGAATAGTTATCTGTGTGTATTGTTTGATTAGAGGGTTAGAGTCTTTAGTGTAATAATAGGGTATAGCAAGGAGGCGAAGGGTGTGGCCCCCCCCAGACTTCCAAATACAGGGAGAGAGGAGGATCACCTCTTGCTGTAGAGTTGTTCTCTATAGCACCCATAATTGGAGGCAACCCTTTAAACTTTTCTTTTCAGGTACAGAAGAAGATGGAGAAAAATAGTAGTAATTGAGGTAGAAATGAACTGTAGATTATGAGTTGTATTAGGATTAACTAAAAGTTATGGGGAAGTTGGACGGGAATCATAAACGGGTAAAATGGGGCATATGAAAAGAAGAGGGATTAAATGAGAGTAGAAATCTCAGGCTGTTGGAATAGTAACAGGTGATTTTTTAAATTTCGTATGGTTATTATGATTGATAGAAATGGAAAATGAGTATATCAATAAGATGGATAATTAATGTGTGTTTGTGGACTGATAGATATACTCAATAAAAAACATAAGTATATAAAAAAAGAAAATGTCTAGGCAGTGTGCGACTGCAATAAAAAAGGCCAACACTATGCTCGGGATTATTAGGAAGGCAATTGAAAACCAGTCAGGCAGTATCATAATGCCTGTTTGGCTTGGCTGCTCGTAGTCTGTAACTATTTCTGGGTTAAGAGTAGAGGTCACTGAGCTGATAGTTCCTGGAGAAGGTCTTTTTTTTCAATGCCATTTTCTCTGCTTTCATCGACATTGTTTACACAAGGTACAGTCCATTTAAACAAACTGATAGTCCATCGGTTTAACTCGTTTTGGCCTGTTTTGCTCCCTACTCACCCAAATTGCACTTTCCTTTACTGCTGCTGTCCCCTTTCACTCCAAGCTGTCACTCGAGAACCGCTGTAATTTTCCAGGGGGGGGGGATCCCAGCTCCTCCCCTCCCTTTAAATCAGTCTGGAACTTTAATTTCACTTCTCCACTTCACCAGCTCAAGTAGCTTATAGGGATTGCTTAAACTCACAGTTCATTCAGCCAATTTGACAGTATGTTGGAAGATATTGCTAGATCATTTGCCCGCTTTCATCCGGTGTATGCCTCTAATTGCTATTGTGGCTTTGTGGTGGCAGGACCTATTGAGGTAAAGAAGTGCCTGAATTCCTTGGCCGTCGCCTTGGAAGAGGCACCCCTCAGACCCCAGGCTGAAAGCCCCCTACAAGGGCTCCGGGGGGGGCTCAGAATCCTTTGAGTCCCCTCCTGTCCACCGCGATTTGGGGCCCTCCTAACAGAGCTCGATGGAGCGCACCCAACCAGGGAGTCGCCGAAACCGGAAGTCCCTATGTATAGAATGGTGCCTTTTGGACTGAACCATTGCAAAAAATACCTTTTCTTTACTGCTGATGAATCACAACCTTATTCCACATGTTCCACAGGGGCTGCCTGATGAAAGTGTGTGACTTCAAGGTCATCTTGAGCTCAGGAACAAACCTCCTATGTGGGTGCTTGTTTCTTCATTTCCCTCCTGCCAGTCTTACCCATTATGTCTCATCACCTCTCCCTGCAGACTACACATAATGCCTGCCTAGAGATCCTTTAGGGGGGTATTTTGTAATTGGTGTGCTTTAGTTCACTGAGGAAATTTTCCCCACTGAAAGAGAAGAAGGCTTCTTGCAACATAAGACTTCTGTTTTGAGCTACAAAGGGAAAAGATGGGAAAAGGACAGCTGAAATCAGCGGTAAAATGTCTAGGGTCCCGTTCATACGCGGCGATTTGGGCCAGTTGCGGGCCAGTTTGGGGGCGGATCAAAGCAGCGCGATCACACCACCACATCTGGGAAGCGTTCTGCTTCCGCACCCGAACTGGCCCAAACCCGGGAAGAACCGCCGCAAAATGAACCACCTACCTTGGTGGTTCAAGTGGACGCGGCGCTTCTTCCCGGGCGTCTGATCGCCGGCGCTCCCTTGCGCCGGCTCAACCCCGGCCCGGAGCCGAACTGCGCATGCTCCGACATGCGCAGTTCGGCCGGCCCCCGGTTAGGGCTGTGTTTTCTCCCCGGCGTTTGATCGCGCCGGGGAGAAACGGCGGCGCGGCCGGGGGATCCGTGAGATCCCGCCGCGCCATGTCAACATTGGCGCGGCTTTTAAAAGCCGCGCCTTCTAGCGCCTTTTCCCCTGCGTGTGGCAGGGGGCTAAGTTAAATCAATAAGAACTCTGGGATAACTTAGTATTTTCACAGTTCATATGTTTCCAGCAGTTGAGTTTTAAAGCCTTTCACACAGTCATAGAATCTTTGAGATGAGAGGCTTTTGTTTCAATGTTTCCCAAACATTCCAGTTCACTTTATTATAATATTCTTTTTGGGGCCTTTTTTGCAGGCCTCCAACCCAGGTCAGTTTGAGAGTGACAGCGACGTACTCTGGCAGCGTGCTCAGCTTCCTGACACTGTGTTTCATCACGGCCGAGTGGGTATCAATACAGATCGCCCTGATGAAGCCTTGGTTGTTCATGGTAATGTGAAAGTAATGGGGTCCCTTATGCATCCATCGGACATCCGAGTAAAAGATGACATCCAGGAGGTAAGAGTTCATCACCTTTGGACATTCTTAGGAGTCTCTTCAGCATTATGCAGAAATGCTTATGAGAACAGCATACTTCCCTTCAATGTGGGTGCCTCTCACTACTATGCAGATGGAGAACTTCATGGAAAAATGCCAGGAAAAATGGGCAGACAGAGTTTCTGCTTAGAGCAGTTCAGGAGCTCAAAAATGTAGGAGTTCAAAATGCAGAGTAAAGATTAGAACAGTTGCTATTGGGGATTGGCACAAACTAGGAAAATGTGGTTCGGTTCATGGTTCATGGTTTGAGAACCACAAAATGTCACAAACTTTTGGGGGCTAAACAAACCAGTTTGGTTCATGACTCAGTAGAACAACTGCCCAGTGTGCTGAAGACACCAAACTCACAGAGGATCTTCAGTTGTCTGCCTTCCGTGTTTGGTGAGGATTGGACTTAGGGGGTCTGAGTTACACCCCCCCCCCCAAAGGAGGTGCCCCCAGGAAAGTGCTTTCTGGGGAAATGACAGGTTTAGGTTCAGGAGGTTTGGGAGTGTATAGAATGAACCCTGTGCAAGGTAGAGGCATCAAACTTTTCAGGAGACCTCCCCCTGATCCTCCTCTACATGTCCTCCAAGTTATGTGCATATTGGACTTAGGGGATCCAAGTTACGGCTCCCCCAATGAAGATGACCCCAGGAAAGTGCTCTCAGGTGAAATGTCAGGCACAGGTTCAGAAATGTATAGAATGGACCCCAAGCAAGCTATATACACCAAACACACAGGGAGGGGGAGGAGCCACAGCCCAGCACCATTGCTTCAAAGACTTCAATTTGATATAACAGATGGTGTGTGTGTGTACATGTACATATACAAATATATATGATAGGTTTTTTTGAGCCCTTGTATAGTAAAAATCATTTTATGATTTTTTTAAAAAAAAGAGTCCAACCAGGGAGAAGCCCCACTACTGGGCGTCAGTAATGAACCGGGAAGTTAGCAGTGGTGGGGATGTCAGGCGTGCAATGGCAGAGGATTCAGCAGAGGTCTCCTGGAGTACTGGTCACACAAGGCTGTCATCTGGCCCGACCGCTCTTGTGTGGCCATGAGCCCTGAGTCCACCCAATACCCAAACCCCAGCGGGGAAGAGGAGTTCACAGTCAAGAGGGTATAAAACATGGTTCCTCAGCTGAGGCACTCAGCGTGAGCAGGGAAACAGAGTGGCTCAGAGCCCTGAGTCCACCTAACACCCAAACCCCAGCAAGGGGAGAGAAGTTCACAATCAGGAGGGTATAAGGCACTCAGTCGCTAAGCCCTTCTGCTTGGTATGAGCAGAGAGGGTGGTTCAGAGCCCTGAGTTCACCTAAAACACAAACCCCAGCAGGGGAGAGTTTATAAATAAATAATGAATGTGCTCTGCTTCTAACAGGTTCCCTGCCTCTCTGTCTAACTGCCAACAGCCAACAGAGGAGAGGCTGTAGAGCTGAGGTGATATATAGCATTCTGATCCCATAAAGCAGAATGGGAACTGTTATTGGCAGCCAGCAGTGCCTGTTAAGCTTTGGAGAGCTCCTACTGGTGTTTATGCCCCCTGCTGCTTTGGAGTTTTGTAAACAGTTTAATTGAGTTCATCCATTCATGAACTGCCACAAACAGCACCAAAGTTTGTGGAATGTTTGTGCCAGTCGCCCTTCCACAAACATTGCTTCACAATCCACGAACCAGCGAAAATTTGTGACGAACTTTAGTTCATGAGCTGGTTCATGCCCATCCCTAGTTGCTAGCAAACCTTGTATCAACTTTCTTATTGTTTCGGAGATCTTAAGCTAAGCACTGCATAAAAGTTAAAATGAATTATCCTTGCCCTGAGCCTCGCAGCCTAATACACAAAGGAAGGGGAACAGTACCACAAAAGAGAGGATAAGATGATACCCTAACAATCAACAGAGCGGCTCTCATACCAAGGAGTTTCCACACTTCGGCCACCTGACTTGTGCGGGTTTTTAATTGTGTTTCCATGTGGCATCATCCTCTATTCATGCATAGACAGTTCTTCTGTAAAGAGTTTGTTCCTTCCACAAAAGACTCTTCCAGTTTTTAAAAAAGTGTTTTGTGGACATGAGAAGTTTCTTGTGTCTGTAAGGGAAACATTGCAGTTGCAGGACTTCACTGAAGTAATAATCAATGACTTTTTAAATTGTTAATGACCGCAAAGGGGCCAGTCCCTTGCAGCAATTGCAAAATTAGCATACCTCAGCCTGTCTTTTAGACAGGGGGATCGTTCAGAAGTGCATCTGCAAATACATGGAGGATCTGAAGAAGTGCGCTTGCACACAAAAGCTTATACCTTGAATAAAATTTTGTTGGTCTTAAAGGTGCCACTGGACTCTAACTTTGTTTTGCTGCTTCAGACCAACATGGCTATCCACCTCCGTTCACGGGGCCAAGCTTGGTAAATCCCTGATCTTATCACCATTTGAGGCTTAAGTCCTCTAATATCCATACTCATTTAAATCAGTCCGCATGCAATGTGCATGATTCAGGCAAAGATGGAATTATAAGCAAGGCCTTATTCTGTATATGTAAGCCAGTGTGGTGTAGTGCTTAGAGCATCAGACTAGGACCTGAGTGAAGGAGATCCAGGGCGGAATCCCCATTCTGTCGTGGAAGCTCTCTGGTGACCTTTGGCCACTCGTACACTTTCAAGCCTAACCTCCATCACAGAGTTGTTGCGAGGATAAAAGAGATGAGAGTGATTGAATCTGCTTTGTGTCCCCACTGGGGAGAAAGCCAGGGTAGAAATGAAGTCAGTAAGTAAATATATACAGTTTTTACTAAGGATGTCAAGACTCCATTGTGCAAAGGTGTATTTAAACTGAGTTGGAACTCCTACAAAATCAGTTTCTTACTTTAATTCAAGGGCTGAGCACTCTGCTGCTCCTTTGGCCAGGGCAGCAGTTTAGCCCAGAGTAATACAGGTAATAACAATACAGGGCTGAATGCTCTGTATGGTTCCCTGCCTAGTGTACCTGGGATTGTAATCCCAATTTACTCATTTGCTGTTGCTGCAGGGTTAGAGTTAAACATTTGGGCACTACAGACTCACTTTTAAAGATTTTTCACCCATAGCCTTTTACTTATGGTTCAGGTAGACACCACAGAACAGCTGAAGAGGATCTCCCGTATGCGACTGGTGCACTACAACTACAAGCCAGAGTTTGCTGCCACTGCGGGTGTTGAGAACACATCTGAGACAGGTACAGTCCCTGTGCTAACCACAGGTTCCATACTTACAATTCTGGTACTGTTCAAGTTTTCACACTTCATTCCTAAGCAGAGTTAACACCCTTTAAAGACTATTGACTTCAGTGCTCTTAGAAAAATGTAACTGTTTAGTATTGCACAGTAAGACTGGCAAAAGCAATAGCATCCATCTTGGCTTCACCAGATCCATAACCCAACCTACTTCTGCTGCCCCATTCCTGGGTTCTTCATAATGCTGTTTCCTGACCTTCAAAACAATAATAACTCCAGACCTATTTAAGCATTCATATGTGGTGCACACAGTCTGGAAACTACTCATATTACAAATTATAAGCTAGATCAGCGAAAATTCAAGTTCTGCAAGACTTTTGAGGAATACTTGGGTCTTTCTCAAGCCTGTGTCATTAATGCCTGATAAACTGTGAGAATCAACCTTCACTCACACTTGCCAAATGGGATTGCAGGGGGTACACTAGTGTTTTCCAACTACGTACATGTGCCTGCAGTATTCAGACATGGGTGTGTCACTTCTGCATCATCAGTGATTGCTGCATGGATTTGTTTTGCCACAAAAGTTACTGCTGACACTGCTGCCTCTGGTACACATGTACTGGTTTCGTAGTCAGTTGCCCTACTGTCCACTGGGCTTTGGAAGCACACTTGGTTCTTCATCTGCAGCAGTCACAGCTCCCTGTGCCCAGAATCGGATCAGGGGAGGATGTTTTTCAGCTCTATGAAAAAGCTGTATCTGCACAGTGCTGATTGACTGGTCCTGTGTCCGTCATAAATGTGTTCCCCTGCACCTTGTTGGGAGGCATTTCAAAGTGGGAGCATTAAAAAACAAACAAACCAATATGGTAACATTGAAACTAAAATCAGAAATAAAGCAAACTACTCTCTTGAAAGGTGTGGAGAGTCAACTATCAGTTTTGGGACTGGAGCCAGAACCAGATAACGGTGCAGGAGCGAAGGAGGGAAAAAACAAGGCTTACCCACAGGAAAACAAATGACACCCACTCCTATTTTTATGCCCATCTCTACTCAGCCTTAATCACTCTAGACTACCTAGCAAATACCTTCTGAAGTTCTAAGGTGACACTGACATTTTGTGGTCTTACCATTCCTGTGCAGGTGTCATTGCTCAGGAGGTGCAGGAAATTCTCCCAGAGGCTGTGAAAGATACAGGGGACATAGTCTTTGCCAGTGGGAAGACTATTGAGAATTTCCTAGTAGTGAATAAGGTAAGTAAGAGCAAACTGCAGATTAAATAACTAGAAAAAGACAATGAAAAGGAATGAAGGTGATAGCAGAGTCCTTGGTCATGCTTTTCTGAGTTGTGAGTAGATGTCTGTTCTTAACATAATGTAAAAATTCCACATCTGAAACTTGGAAACTGCTGTTCTCAACATTTTGGCAGGCACTGTCTTGTCGATTTTCATTTGGTCCACTATTTGTGATAATTTCAGTAGTTGTGCGCACAGGCTTGGTATGGAAGAACTCTGATATCAGTTACTTGAATGTTATATAGAAGGGGTTGAAGTAAGCTGGAATTTAAAAGCTGATTCAGAATGGGTTGTTTGTTCAACCCCCTGCACAATGCAGGAAATTCAGAACTACCTCCCCACCCCCACATCCCCAGTGACTCCTGCTCCATACCCAGAAGATGGCAAAAAACCCCTGGCCAAACTGGCCTGGAGAAAATTGCTTCCTGGCCCCAAAGTGGTGATTGGCATCCCCTAGGTATGTAAGAAAGGGCCATGAGAACTAAGCACTGATCCAACCTTTCCTGCCCTCCCTCTCATGATCTGCCTAAGAACTTGTTGAAAAGTAAAAACACTTACTTGTTAGCAACATATTATCTGGATTTAGTGTGATTACAAAGTTATCTCAGTTTTTATTATCCATTCACCTCATACATCCTACCTCTGATTCTACCTGACCTTTTCCTCTCCAAGTTAAATAAAATATTTCAAAAGCCTTTCATGTGCCATTACAGGAGTAGAATATTAGCAGATGATTTTGTCTCTTCCCTCAAGTCCCTGGTTGGGCCAGCATCAAAATGTATAATAATGTGACAGGGTGGGACAGCCATAGACCAACAAATAAGAAGAAAATAGATGTAGGAGCTGCTCAGCAAGCAGGAAAGGAGAAAAAAAAGGGAAAATCCTGTGCATGATGGAGGAAAGAGGGCGAGATTTCCATAGTAGTGTGTCCTGAATAAAATGCACTGAAATTTTATGATAAACAGGTCTATGGAGTTTCATGTTTTAAAAATAAATATGATAAATAAATAAACATGAGGGTGAAATTATTTGTTGCCAAGCCACCTTCTCTGAGGATGCCACGCCCTGTTTATACTTGGTGCTGGGACCAGTGCTCCCTCTAAGCTGAGTTAGTGTGAGTTAGCTCACAGTTTTTTCGCCTCCGGCTCACAGATTTTTGTCTCAGCTCAGGGAGGATGGCTCCGGAGCAAACTGATTTATGCAGTAGCCAAATCGTTCACTCACAACTTTAAGACCAGTAGCTCACAAAGCAGAATTTTTGCTCACAAGACTCCACAGCTTAGAGGGAACATTGACTGGGACCAATTGCTATGTTGTTTTTGTAGTGTGGTAAGCAAAGACTTCACATGATGATGTTGCTGTATCGCTTTTACTTGATAGGGAGTTTTGAAGAAACATGCCTATGTGGGAAAATTAACTTGTTGCACTGAAAAAATGTAAGCCATTTCTGTGAATGGTAGTTTTTACTTTTCTTCAGGGGGTATTGTCCAAAAAACACATCAACACCAAATGAAAATGAAAGGCGTTAGGTACATTGTGTGAGTATTTGAGTATTCCAAAAGAGAAAATGAAGGAGAATCTTTCTTTTGTCCCTGACAGGAGCGCATTTTCATGGAAAATGTAGGAGCTGTGAAGGAGCTTTGCAAACTGACTGACAACCTGGAGACACGGATTGATGAGCTGGAGAGGTGGAGTCATAAACTTGCCAAGCTTAAACGACTGGACAGCATGAAATCAACTGTGAGCTCTGGTGCATTCAGGTACCCAGAGCTTTCAGACAAGCAGCTTCATTTTATTCCTGTCCCTCTCAAGAGTTGAGAGACTATGGGCTGCTGAGATGCTTAAACTTCAGTCATGACTAAAAAAGCAAGCAGAGCTTTGAGCAGGTGGGGACCTGGCCCAGATGTTTATCTGGGATGGGCATCTTGTACCCTTGATGGAAGAACAGACAGGCATTAATCCCCTTCCACCACATTCACCATGTAATGTGATGCAGGACTCCCTGTTTCTTTTTTTTAGGAGTCACATTGCACATTACATTGCAAGCCTAGAGGAGTGGAGTGTACCCGCCCATTCCTTCTCACTCATTCCTTCACTACCACAACGGGATCTTGAACCCAGCTAAATGTCTGAACTGGTCCAAATACGAACCTCTGTCTGAATCTGCATCTACTAGCGCCAGCTTAAACATCAAGCCCAGACAATGCTACATTTGGATCAGAAATTATTAGTAGAAATGGTCAAAATTCTTATGAGAAAGCTTCTTGTACATTTCGAGGTTGGTCTGATCTTCGTTTCATACATTCAGGAGTACTCTAAAGCAGCACTGGTCCAAGTTAAAATTTACAGCCTGATCAGCCAGCCAATGAATGTGAAATATACAAACTGTGATGCGAAAGTTCCTGATTTCTGCTGATGCCTCCCTCCCATTGTAGACCCCCAAATTGTGCCCAGCGCTGGTCTAGGGATTCCTCTGAGGCTCTGGGCAGCATTTCAGGAGAGTGAGGGAGCTCCCTCAGTCTCCTGGGATCCAGGAATATCCCATTCTTTTAGCTCCACTGTGCTTACAATTCTTATTGGATACAAGTAATTACCTTCAGGAAATCTTTAGCCTGAAAACTTCCTTTAAAGCACCAGCCAAAAGTCCTAGGAGTGTTATGTACTAACATGTAGTACTGAAGGTGCATGTCAATCAGCACTTTTTGTACATTCTGAGTTGGTGTCCTCAAAAAACCTAATGTTGTGTTACTATTTATTATCTGTGTGTTCCACATGCAAAAAAGAAACCTAGTTAGAGAAGTGTATACTGTTGAGTGATCAGCCTAGAATGAAGTTAAAGGGAAGGGCTGTGGCTCAGTGGCTCAACCTCTGCTTGGCATGCAGAAGGTCCCAAGTTCAATCCCCAGCATCTCCAGTTAAGACGAGCAGGCAGTAGGTGATGTGAAAGACCCCTGTCTGAAACCTTGGAGAGCTTCTACCAGGCTGAGTAGACAATACTGACTCTGATGGGCCAAGGGTTTGATTCAGCATAAGGCAGCTTCATGTGCTCATATGTGTTCAAGTCTGTTCATCTCCTTCATGTAGCAACCTTTTTCTTATTTTTCCCCTCAATGGTGAATTTGCATAGTTTATGGCCTGTGAACCCACTCAGTGACCTATTCTGCTAAATGCTTTTAGGAAAAGCCAAAATTTGGCTACTGCGCAATCCAGTC